GGATCTCTGTGAGTTGGAGGCCAGCCTGGTCTACAAAGCTACACAGAGAAACCCTGTCTCAAAAAACCAAAATAAATAAATAAATAGTTGATATCCTTAGAGCTTGGTGCTAAAGCATCTTCAGTGAGTGTGTTCCAAATGGCAAGAGATAACCTGTCAATAATTGCAATTTTTAGCAGGTGAACTCCTCATCCCATCATGGATGATATGGAATTAAGCAAAATACTAAGTGTATTGTAGGAAATATCCTTGATGCTGTCTCCCATCACAACTGGGGGTACTTTCAAGGGCTGATGAAAAATGTCACACACGATGGCTTGCTGGTTGAGAGCACTTGCTTTCAGCCTGGGGTTTGGTTCCCAACATCCACAGTGTACAGTTCAAAACCACCTGTAACTCTAGTTTCCGGGGATGAGATTCCCTCTGCTGGCTGTCTATATGTATGTATATAGACAAAAGCTTGCATACATAAAAATAAAATAAACCTAATATATTTAAAAGTTACATTTGGGCTGAGTGTGTGTCTTTAGTGATAGACATAAAAGAAGCTAGATTTGTTATGGAGCACCACAACACAACAGCCAAATGACTATTTTGAAGAAAATGGGTAGCACAAAGCTAGTGTTTATTGAAGAGTCTCTGTATGTCAGGTAAATTTGGGCTAAGTACATAAATTAAGTCACCTAGCATTCAAAATAACCCTGCCATTCCTTATTGCTGATGAAGAAATTAGGACCCAGATAAATTAAGAGATGTGGAAAGTTTATATTCCTAGTAAATACCAAGACAGTGACATGAACCCTGACTGTCATTGTGCAAACAAAATCCAATGTTTTTGAACAAAAATAATTTTAACATGAACATTTGGATTTGGAGCAGTGCTGTTGCTATTGGCATGAGTTGTTCTTCAAGTCAGTAGCTGTCTTACTTTTCTATTGCTATGAGGAGACACTAGGACCAAGGAAACTTACAAAAGAAAACATTTAACTGGGGGCTTGCTTACAGTTTCAGAGGGTCAGTCCATGGCCATCATGGCTGGGAGTATGGCAGCAGGTGGGCAGACATAATGATGGAACAGTACCTATGAGCTTACAGCTGATCTGCAAGTTGGAAGCAGAGAAAGCATCTGGGCCTGGTGTGGGCTTTTGAAACCTTAAAGCCTTCCCCCAGTGACTTACCTCCTCCAACAAGGCCACACCTCTTAATCCTTCCCAAATAGTTCCACCAGCTGGGGACCAAGCATTCAAACATATGAGCCAATGGGAGCCATTCTCATTCAAACCGCATTAGCCTTGTAGAGTTGAACATTGATTTGGATAGGTGAATTCTGGTGTATGTGTATAGGTGTATTTATGCATGTATGTGCACATGTGGGAATTTTTTTTATGATTACAGCTACCAACTTTCACAAACTAAGATCATTCACAAATGAGATTTTTTTCTTGCTATCAGTAGTGGAACTTTAGAAAGAATCTGAATGATTTTTATTGTCTGGATATCAGGTTTAGTATGAAAACATAAAAACCCTACATGCCAGGGGCTGGAGAGATGGCTCAGAGGTTGGGAGCACTGACTGGTCTTCCAGAGGGCCTGAGTTTGATTCCCAGCAACCACATGGTGGCTCACAACCATCTGTGGTGATATCTGGTGCCCTCTTCTGGTGCGCAAGCATGCATGCAGATAACTGTATACATAATAAATAAATAAAATCTTAAAAAAAAAAACCCTACATGCCTTCTGAACTCCCATCCCAGTTGTGTATCAGTGACTATTAGATGACATGGGACATGAACTGTGACTGAGAAAGTACCTCTCTTGCTGAGGAAAATAGTTCCTTTTGAGCATGCAGCAAATTGACATAATGGCTAAGGAATGAAGTTTTAGATACTCTGATAAAAAGCATGGAGGCCACAACAGTGCTAGTCTGAGAGTAAAGAATGCACATAAACTCAGGAGTACACACACAGTGTTTCAGGGTTCTGTAAGAAACGAATACAGAGGTGTGAAAATGGAGTTAATGATAAAGCCACTTATATTTTATTGGTGAAATATCATGTGTCTTAGTCACTGTTCTACTTCTGTGAAGAGACATCATAACCAAAACAACTCATAAAAGAAAGCATTCAGTTGGGGGGGTTAGCTGGCTTACAGTTTCAGAGGTTTCATTCATTATCATCATGAGAGGGAGCCTGGCAGCAGGCAGGCAGGCAGACTGCTGGAGAAGTAGTTAAGGGTTACATGTGGTGATATATTATTTATGATTTATTACAGCTTGTCTGAGGATTCAGAAAGCAAAGTCAGCCACAAACCATAGAAACCAGGCACGCACCTTTAATCTCAGCAGCCAGAAGCTAGGAGGTGATGGTACCCACCTTTAATCCTAGGACTCAGGATTAAGATGTAGACGGATCTCTTCACAGAGATCTACACCTAGATCTATACAATACTGATCCAGTTCTAAAGAGAAACATCTCACTCAAAGATGATCTCAGCACCTGGGATCACACACCTTTAATCCCAGCATTAGAGAGGTGTATAAGACAGGAGCAAGGCCTCAGTGTCAGGCACTCATTCTCCAGCCACACTGAGTGTAGGAGGCATTCATTCTCCAGCCACCATGAGGATTGGAAGACATTGAAATCTCAGGATTCTCCAGTCACTCAGAGGAGAGGCAGCAGGATCAGCCCATTCAGCCCGAGGTAGTGGTAATAACTAGTGGCCCGATACTTTGCCTTTGTGACCTTCGGCTTGAAGTTTGAACCCCAATATCCGTTTCAGGGTCTTTTATTTATCTTGTAGCAGTTATATCCTGATCTGCAGGCATGGGGGTTGTTCAGGGATATGGAAGGACAGACAGACAGACAAGAAAACACACACACACACACACACACACACAGAGAGAGAGAGAGAGAGAGAGAGAGAGAGAGAGAGAGACTGAGCCTGACATGGCTTTTGAAACCTCGAAGTCCATCCACAGTGACACACTTCCTCCAACAAGGCCACAGCTCTTAATTCTCCTAATCCTATCAAAGGGTTCCACTCCCTGTAACTAAGCATTCAAATATATGAGGTTATGGCGACCATTCTTATTCAGATCACCCCATCATGTGACTCCCTGAGTCTAGAAACTGACATTCAGATTCCATCTGATGAGATTCAGTGTCCCAATCATTCTAGACTCAGCAGTGAACTCCTGATCTGCCAGTCCACTCCCCGTGAAGCTGTTCACCTTTCAGTGGTGGGGAAATGTCTCCTTTTCACTGGCAAGGCCCCAAATGTGCCATCAGTCCCCCACCTGTAACTCTCATGGACACCTTCAGCAGACTTCCAGAACCAGACCACTTCCCATCCTGCATCATTCTTTCTGGGGTTCTTGTAGTCACCCACTGACAGGTATTCCTGCCTCTCAGACCATCACTACATGAAGCCAGCCAGGCTGGGTATTTTGTGTGCCAGGTCAGGACTCTCTACCTGAAGTCTGTCTCCCCCTGCCCTCAAGGACAAGCTGACATTTTGACAGTGCATAATTTGATTATCTCTTATGTTTTGGAGCATCTTCTTTTCTTCCTTATCTTGTTTATTTTCTTCCTGCCATAATGGCCTCTTCACCATTACTCCTACCCTAGAGCCAGTGTTTCCTTGTGCCATCTTCTTTTCCCATTCCTGAATATGCGCATGGCTTCTTTCGTCCCGTTAGGCCTTCCTCCAACAAGCCTCCTGTTTTAACATTCCACATCCCAGAATCCCCTTACTTTGTTTTCTTTCTCATGGTCTGGTGATTTTATAACTCACTGTACTTGTTCATGTCCTACTGCCTCTGTAGCCTCTTTTCTGTGTCCTTCTGTGCCCTCTGCTGAGGCTGGCTCCACAAGGACATGGCTCAGTGATGCAGTACAAGTGTCCAAAATACTTGCTGGTGCATGGTAGAAGAACAATAAATTTGGTTAATTGTTGCGTTAAGATGTTTAAGCACACAGATGCATATGCATTTTCGTGTGTGTGTGTGTGTGTGTGTGTGTGTGTGTGTGTGTGTGTGTGTGTGCGCGCGCGTGTGCATGTGCACACACATGCCTGTGGAGGCCAGAGGAAAACCTCAGGCATCCTTCTTCAGGGCCATGCACTTTGTTTATTTTTAGCAAAGTCTCTCACTGGGGCTGGGGCTCACAGATTAGCCTGGGCTAACTGTCTGAAGAGCACCAGGGATCTTCTGCTCAGGGATCTTCTGCTCATCTTCACTTCCCCAGCACTGGGATTACAAATGCATCACCAGGGCTAGTGTTTTTATGTGGATTCTAGGTATCAAAGCCAGGTTCTCAAACTTGGATGGCACGTGCGCAAGCATGTGCACACACACACACAGAGGGGGGGATGAGATGGCTGTGAGGAGAGAGTGAGAAGGCAAGAGACAGAGAGACATGTTTAGGCAATGTACATAGATTTTAACAATAAGAAGAAAGCAGCGTGTTTCTCAGCTATGGTTACAGATGTGAACCATCAGTACAGCAAACAGCACAAGAAGAAAGAAACCAGGCCCTTGTTTTCATGTAACACAGGAAGAACAAAGGGAATAACAAATGTGCAATGTGCATCTTTCTTCCTCAACTGTTTAAAAGATGGTGACACCATTACCTACTGAAAGCAATGTGTAGGTATTCTCAACCCAGCCTAACAAAGTAGATGTTACATTATCTGAGATTCCATGTGGTATATTTAGCGAATGTTCACCATGCAGGGTGCTTTGTAACTATTGGCTTTATAGTTAGATATTTACATCTGTACATATGCACTATTGAGTAATTAATGTTGAGTAAATAGTGAATACAGCTAATCCAAATCGTTGACACCAGGCATATACGTGACACATAAATACACATGCAGGTAAAAGCCACTCGGTTCTTTAAAAACTCCAGTGAACTTGTTTAATTTTTCTTTCATCTTTTCACATAGGGCCCAGAGCATGACTATGTGGGTGGACTGGAATTGGTTCTCTTCTCTTTAAGGTGTGGGTGAATTCTGTCACTGAGATGACCAGAGATGACCTGTGTGCAGAAGATGAGGACTCTTCCCCACAGGACTTGGTCTACTGGGTCACTCCTCCCAGCAATGGGCACCTGGCTCTCAAGTCCATTCCTGGCAGAAGCATCCAGAACTTCACTCAGGCACACATCAATGAGGGTCAGCTTGTGTTTGTGCACTCTGGTAAGTCACAGTAGAGCAGGGCCAAGTGCATGTGTTCTGAGCAGCGAGTGATGCGGCTGTCATACCTAGGAGTTGCTGATGGAAAACCACAGGATGTAGAAACTTCCCAAGTTCTGTGCCTTTTTAAAGAACATTTTGAGGAAAGCTCATAAAATCATTAGAGCCTGACCTTGTCTCCCTCAAGGGCTTACTCAGGAGGGCATGTAAGGTCAGTTACCTTCCATGAGAGCCCATTCCTCCCACTCACTGGCATAGCATCTGTGACTCTCCACTCTTGCCCTGGCTATGAGACTAATGTAGGTTAATTTAGACCTCTGCTTTTTAATATCCCCATGACAGTGCAAGCATTCTAAGAAAGGGCAGAGTCTCTTGTATCCTCAGCCCTTCAAACAGTGACTAGAACATAGTAGGTGCTTCATAAATAAAACTTTTTTGAACAAATGAAATAGTTTTAACCATGAACTATGTCCTGGTTAATAACATTCTAGATGCTGAGGTTATGTAGTGAACAAAGCAGTTTTTGTGCGAGGATTGTATTCATGAATGAACGGATGTCACTGTGTTTATGAGATCCTGATGTTGGTTGGAGGCCCTTTCTGCTTCCTGTTAGTCATCAGTGAATCAAGACCGACAACATTTGCTGGAAAGGTGACCCAGGAACTCTGCCAGGCTGGCCTTGCTTTGTTATATGTCTGCCCTTGTCAGTGGACCAGGGTGGGCAGCAGCTGGAAGGAGGCATGGGAAAGGAGCATGACCCAGGAATGCATAACCTGAAAGCTTAAATCTCATCCTTTTCCCAGTTAAACTGTCTCCTTCAAGAATATAATAAAGACAAGAAAAATAGACACTCTCTGAATTCATAGGTAATGATGCCCTAATGATCTGTGCACTTAACACACAGGCTGCCCAAAGAATCTGAACACAATTTACCATGTGGTTGCTCTCATGTAGTGATCACAGCCTGCAGCCTGTGGCCCGGGGCTTAGATCATTTTCAGCACCGTCCTAAATCTCTTCCATTTGTCAGGCCTCACGGGAGGTGCAGTCACATGAACATGCTATTTCACAAGTCACACTGATTTCACAAGTACTCCTCAGTCTTCTGAGACATAAAGAGTCATGACCTCATTTTAGAGATGAAAAAACCTGCAACTCATATAGACTCAGCTTGGCCTGTCCCTGAAGCTGGTGTTTCTCCACTGAAGGTTAGAGGACAGGGGTTACCATTTGCAGTGAAGGATGGAAACAACAGCAAGCTCTCTGGGTTGATTGACTTGTCAGCTACCAGGTCAATATTTGCTTTTAGTAGATAGAGAAAATAGCTTCAAAAAAAGAAGGAAAGGGAGGTAGAGGCCAGGATAACATGAAGGCTAATTCATTATATTTCTTAAATGGACACTGAGACAAGCTAACTCTCAAAGTGACTGGAGCCCAGCTGCAGATGCCTCTGTTGTGGAAACCAGCTGTCCATTACTAGCCCCAAACAAAGAGGATGGTTTAATTAATTTCACTTAGCATCTTACATTTGCAAAGTGCTCTGCTCTAATCTAATTTGCCAGTCCGTACAACAACTTAAGTGGTTTGATACAGCGAAGATGTCTACAGCCAGGGCTTCTTGGTCACTTGCCCTCCTGAAAGTACCCTTGGAAAAACGCAGAGGTCTGCCCTAGAGTATCCACAGATCGCCCTATGTGCCTGCTTCCTTCCTGGTCTTCCCTTGGTCTAATTCCTGTTAGGTCCCATTCTGTATAACATTCTGTATTGGTTTTGTTATAGTTCCTCTGGTTCTATCCCTATTTTGTTTCTCCATTCATAAGGCACTTTCGGAATTCCTAGTGGTAGAAGTCATTCTCTCTTTAATTTTGTGTTTCATTAAATACTTTGGAAAGCTAATTCTAGGAAAGCAAGCAAATGCAAAACACTTGTTCATGAGTCCTGTTGGAAGTTAGGTACATGTAATGCCTTTTTCTTTCCCGGTCTCTGCCTCTTTAATGGTGACCTATTTATATTTTGGTGAAAAACAAAACAAAAACAAAAACAAACGCCACCTGTAAACATTCTAGTGAGAATCCGGGGCTTCCTAGTAAGCTTTGATTAGCTAAAACTTAAAAGATTTCAAGTTCCAGCCTATGCTAATCAGTCTGTGTTACTAAGGGAGTATCCATACATAATTGCAGTCTGATCATACATCCGTCATTCCTAGCCTTATTTCCCCCTGGGCAACAAAGACACATTTTTACCTAGTACATTCTGTAAGGGCCTGTGGACTTTTCATTTACTGCTACATGGACATGTTCAATGGCCACCGGTCTCCCTGCATAGAGATCTTGCTGCTGCCTTGTGAGTCATACTGGTAAAGCACCCTGGGGAATTGGATCAATGTTGATACGTCTCCATTCCAGTGATGTCCATAAGTTAATTTTCCACTTTACTGGTATGACTAGTCTTTGACAGAGTGTAGGAGTGTGCTCTCCTTGCAGACCCTTAAGGAAAGTGAAGCCAGGTCTCTCCCTTCCCTTTGCTTTCCACTCAGAATATGGTTAGCTTGACATGGATATTTGTTTATTTGTTAATTTCCCTGATCTTTTGAAATTATAATTATATAATATCCACCTTCCCTTTCCTCCCTCCCAAACCTCCCATATACCCATCTCAACTCTTTTTCAAATTCATGGCTTCTCTTTTCATTGTTACGTGCATGCGGGTGTATATATGTGTGTATGTGTTTTCAGGGTTGGCTGTTTTGTATTGGATAACCAATTAGTGGGCTCTTCCCTGGGGAAGACTATTTCTCTAGCTCCCAGCATCTTAGTTGCCTACAGTTCTTTGTGCAGGGTTGAGTTGCAATTTTCCTATCCTCTTTTGCATATTTCATTAAAAGTGTAACTGTTCGTAGTAGTTGCAGGATGCTAAATATTCTCTTGCCTTAAATTTTGATTTTCAGTATAAAGCTTTATCAATATTTCAAAAATTATTGGTGTGGTTATAGTCATACATTATTGATATGGGTTGATTTCAAAATAATAAAATACAGGGGATGAGTACTATTTTTAACTTGCAAAAATTTCTTGGTGTTTTAATATGTCAGAGGTCAAGGGAATCTGCATTTTAAACTTTATTGATATACCTTAACTTTGTTTCTTGTCAATAATACAATCAAGTACCATATAAAGTCAGGGACACAGTCTGAGAAATGATTCATCAGTGTGCAAGCATCATGGAGCTTCCTTACACAAACTAAGCAGGCTGTGATATCTCTGGGTGATACAGTCTATAGGACCACAGTTCCACAGACTGTTGGGGATGCAAATGTATGTGGCCTGTGGCAACATTTGATTTGGTGAGCTCAGTGGCTAATTAACACATTACAAAATTGTTATGGCTATTTTCAGGACCATGGAGGGACATAGGGTGAAGGTAAAGTGGACTTTTCAGGATAATCAAATTAACCAGAGGGTATGTTCTTCTTTTGAAGGAGCAATGTCAGGAGGCTTTAATTTTCAGGTTACTGATGGTTTGAATTTTGCACCTCGGCAAATCTTTAGCATCACCGCCCGAGCTCTGATCATTAGCTTAGAAGTCAACAGAGGATTGAGCATCTTCCCAGGTAAGAGGCTTGGGGGGTGTTTGGGGGAAGGGTTAAGTGTTTTCCTATCTGTTCAGAAAATCCAGTTGTATGGCCTAAAGTGATGTCCCTTGTTGTGAAAGGACTCTAGCAACATTATTAAGTCCCCCACTCCCCTCAGAATTCTCAGCAGAAATTTGACAGCAACAAGGCTGGCACTCTGAAACTTTTTTGTCTCTCCCCTTGTCTCTTCCCCAGACAAGGAAGGACTGGAAAGAGCAGTGGAAGGATTCATGGAAGGGGCTGACTTCACTCTCTATGCACTTTCCCATCTTCTCTCCTAGAGTCCTTACCGACCCAAGATCTCTATTGTTTATGCTTTTGGGGCTTCATCTCCTGTATCCCAGGCTGGTATTGAACTCCCTGAATAGCTGCATGTGAATTTACACTTCTGATCCTCCTGCCTTTGCTTCCTGAGTGCCGGAATTGCAGGTTTGCACTGCCACGCCCAGTTTACACTTTGCTGGGAACTGAACTCAGGGCCTTGTTCAGGCTAAGCAAGCACTCTGCCAGCAGAGCCACATCCCTGTCTCCCTTTATTTTCTTCAAACTGCTTGTATCTTGGATAGGAAATCGTCTGCAGCGCTTGGGGCTTGCCAGTGTTTTCCCTTAGTGCTGGCTTAGAGTGGCCGCTTGCCAATCATCTAAGCCAGACTGATGTAGAAGGAGCTGTAAGCTGCTCTGGCTAACACTCTCAGAAAAGGGGAAAGATTTACCCAATGGCAAGGGCAAAAAAATAAAAAGAGAGCGAGAGAAAAAGCTGGAATTTGTTATTTCCAAAAAGCACAGAGGTGGAAACAATAACATCTCAACATGGCCTGAATGTTGGGGAAAAGGAAAGGACAGAGCAGTCCTGCACTTATAACCTACTTAAAGGACAGACATTAGCAATCAAACATAGATGGAAAAAAGTCACTGATGATTTTATTAATTATGGTTCAACTAGCCAGCAATCCTAAAAATAGCAGTGCCTGCCTGCCTCTCACTTCACACAAGTTGATATGGGAGTCTCTGGAATGGGCCTGGCAACTTAAAATTTTCTTTAGATTTATTTTGGTTTATGTGTTTGAGAGTTTTCCCTGTGTGTATGTCCGTACAGTGTGTGCATGCCTGTGCCCGCAGAGCTCAGAACAAGGCATCAGATCCCTGGAACTGGGGTTACAGGGAGTTGTGAGCCACCATGTGGGTGCTGGGAACTACTGAGCCATCTTGCCTTCTTTCTTTCTTTCTTTCTTTCTTTCTTTCTTTCTTTCTTTCTTTCTTTTTTTCTTTCTTTCTTTCTTTCTTAGTTCTAGTTAGGGAACAAGCTTGTTTCACATGTAAGTCCCTTCTCCCTTCCCAACCCCCAGCCTACCCCCCCCCCCATCCACCCACCACTCCCCAGGCAGGGTAGGGCCCTCAACTGGGGCTCTGCGAAGTCCACCAAATCTTCCTGTGCTGGTCCTGGGCCTTTCCCCATGAGTCCAAGGCCAATACTAATCCACCACCAGAGGCTCCCTGGAGTGCAGAGGCCTCCTTATTGACATCCATGTTCAGGGGTCTGGATCAGTCTTGTACTGGCTTCCCCAACAGCATCTGGGGGCGATGTGCTTTCTTGACTTCTTTTTAAAGTCTTAGTTGCTCTTAAAGTGGAACTCACTTGGTATCCACAGGGCTAGACACTGATGAGAGATCAATCCACAGTCTGTAACACTAAGGTTTTCTTTATTCAGATAACATCAGCCAAGCACAAGCCAAAGCAGGCCAAGGGCAGCAAGGCAGCAAGGCAGCCAGGCCAGAGAGAAGGGAGAAGGGAGAAGAAGGTCTCCACGTGTGCACGGTCCCTTAAAAACCATAACCGCGTCACCTTAGACTTCCCCTCACCATGCCCTCACACCTGTGTCCTGCACACCTGTCCGGGCTACTAGGAGGAGGGGCTACAGTGTCTCCCTACAAGACACTGTACCAGTATTTCAGTGTTTATGAGATAGGTAATATATTGTTGGGAAGTCGGTGGGCTCTCTGACTTAAAGAGGAAATAGGAACTGGCAGTAAGGGGTTTAGCGAGCCCTCCTGCTTCTGTAACAGACTTCTAGGAAAATGACACTTGTCTGCCATTATTTTTACAGTAACTGCTGGGATGCTTTGCTAATTTTTTATTGTGATGGTGGTAATGCTGAGGGTTGAAGCTAGGGAAGCCCTCTACCACTGAGCTACACCCCCAGCCCTTGAATGTTCATTTTTAAGTTTTAAGTTGTCCTCAGCTTTTAAGTCTGTGGAAAGAAAGCTTTCCAAACACAGCAAGGGCTGTGTCACCTAGGATCTTCTATTAGAAAACTTTATTTTTTCCATTCTCTGTAAATTTTCTCTCTGAACAAGTATGAAACTTTTACCATTTTCTCCTCAAGGCAATTAGTGCCTTGGGGAGTCATATAGTGTTTTTTTGTTTTGTTTTGTTTTTAAAACAAATAACCATCTGCATTTCAGTCATCAGAAAGACATGGTGACCTATTTTTAAAATTCCAAAACTAGGGTAATTGTGGCTGTTGTAGAAGATTAAGTACCTTTCATCTGGCTCAGCATAGTCTGGTTTAATAATTGATGACAGTTGTATTAGTGGGAAGACAGGAACGCTGTCGCTTCGACACTTCTGAGTTTCTGGCGAATGTTTTACTAAATCAGTGTAGCCGGAAAACATACATTGAGTGGCCAAATTCCTTTCTGACCTTCAGAAGATTGTATAAAACTTAGAGTGTTTATAGCTCTATGTGCATTATTGGCCACAGTCCTGGGAACTGTTTCTTTTTCCAGCAAGTCTTCCATCTACTTCAACCCAGCCCCTGTGTGTTTCAAGAGCTCACAGCTAGAACTCCAATATTGACCTCACTTTCACAAACACTCCCGGCCCTGGTAGCTCAGTTGGTATTCTTGGTTGCCACTGTCTATACCCCGCCTTGTTTCCTGTTCCAGCTCTTGGCCAGGAGGAAGCAAGATGGATCTTCATATCCATTTCTCTTCAGCGACAGTGATGTTTGATGAAATCTCCTAACTGTGGTATCCACAAGTCCTAGAGTTCAGGTGGACCTCATGGGTCCCCTGGTCCTAGTGTTCATATTGTTCTTCCTGTGTCAGCTTTCCCAAGTAGCAGGGGCCACCAGTTGTATATCAGAGTTGCCTAACATGAACACGATTCCTGTGGTTTTGTTACCTTGTCCCCTTTCCAGGGACCCACCTAACCTTGCTCAGCAGGGCTTCTTCAGCAGTCCCCTGAGGGCTCTTTGTCCCAGCTGTTGTGTGTGGAGCTGTAAGGTGATGATAGATGCCACGCTCTGTATCTTCCTTGAACGTTCCCATTCTCATCATGCTATGCCATGTCCCACAAAGGGCAGGGAGGCATACCGCATACATCTTGCCTCTGGATATGAAAAAAGATGTTCTGTGTCAGCTATTGCAGAACCACATGTTTAGAACTTACATATTCTAAAATCCCAGGGGAAAGTCTGTTGTTTTTGTAGAAGCATGATTTGTTTTCGAGCTATCGCAGGAGTATAAAATCTATTCCTATTATAGGCTGGACATTCAGCTACTGATACTCATATTCTAATTACCACATTGGGTTACTATAAAAAATTAATGTGAAATATATAACAACACAACTTTTGAATATCCATGAATGGTAAAAGATATGAGGCTCAGGAGGTTTCTGTGTTATATAGCTAAGTGACAAGTCTTAAGCCCTCCGGGCAGCGTAGCAATTCTGATCCCAAGTCTAGAGCTTGTATCAAGCAGCCCCTCTCCTTTACGTGTAGGCCAACATCCCAGAATGTCCCTTGTGGAATGCCAGTTCCCTGAGAAAGGGACATCAGGGTAATGTTTATTTTGTTTCCTAACCATTATTGATATATTGACATACACAGCAAGTTAATAGCCACAACAATTATGTAGCAATGTTGCAGGTTTTAATCTCTTTGGTTGGGGAAGTATTGCAACCTGGCATAAGTTAGTAACAACAACAAAAAGTTTAAACCTTTAATTCACATTTGGACCATACCATACCATCTGAACTTCCTCTGCCTCAAACTTCGGAAGGTCCTGTGTTGGCTCCTTTGTATGCTCAGCCCTGGCTTGATACTTTAAAAAATTTGCATGGCAAGCCAAAATAATTATTAGAGTGCATAGAATGACTGTTTTAAGACTAAGTATAGCTTCTATGCTTTGCCAAATTTGAATATCAGTTTTTAACTCTAAATGAAATAATTTTTGTGAACTAAGTAAAATTAAAGTATATTTTTATTATATTTTATTTTAATATTTCAGCTTGTCTTATTTTATTGTATACATTTTGAATACATATATAGATATGTGAGTATAACATGAATATATATATATATATATATATATATGGGGGTATTCATATATATTTAACTGACATGTTTTCTGTTGCCTTCTCTGTGATTTATTCTTCAAGAAAAGATTTTGTAAGAGTTTTTCACATTGAATTCTACCATAGATTTTGTTTGTTTAACTCTAGTGGTGGCATGTTGGAATATACTACATCCTTAGGCTGTAGATTTTTTTGTTTATCCAAATTGTACTTGGCTCTTTTTCAAGGAATGTTGGTCTCCAGTGTTGGAGGATTAACCCACAAAGTTTTGCGGTGATTCTGTAGAGGCAAGCTTCTGTAGGTCCAGGGTCAGGCAGTTCACCTCCAATGGACTATTCCCTGAATCTGCACCTCAGCCTCTTTGGTCATGAAGAAGAAGAAATGACATCAGTAACCCATCTGTCCCTCGTAGTAGCAACCAAAAGACAGGAGAAAGGATTCATAGTGTATGCTAAAAGGTTTACCATCCCTCCCTCCGTGCAGACATAGCACAGTTTCTTTCTAAAAATGTTTTAAATTACATTTGTTTGTGTGTGTGTGTGTGTGTGTGTGTGTGTGTGTGTGTGTGTGTGTGTGTGTGGTAGGCTATCAGAGGTCATTCTGTCTTTACACATGTGGTTCTAGGGGTTGAATTTCTGTCCTGGTGCCTGGCAGCAAGCACTCTGTCCTACTGAGCCATCCTGGTGGCCCCAGGCTTTCTGTATCTTATCATCTGGTATGTGCACTCAGGCTTACTCCCTCATTTGACTATGGTGAAGCCACCTGGTATGGAGGGAGGCTTGACAAAGGATTTCATATCCTTTGGATGGAAAAAATGGCATATTTTATAAAGAGGCCCCTTTTTTACTTCCTGTCCCCTAAGTGACCTGGGAAGAGGTGAGTTATAAACAGGGTCACTGTGAAGAAGAGAAATTAAGGCATGGAGGGGGGTGTTCCGAAGAATAGCTAAGGACAGGAAGTTGGGTGCTGAGGCAGTCAGGAGTGTACATAGCACATATAACAGGAAAGTTGGCAGGTGACAGAGTCCCAGTTACGACTTTATAACATTGATTGAGGGCACAGAAACATGGCTCTCAGCCTGCCCGGTGTGACCTCTAGCCCTGACCACTATTCTAGAAGCCAGAAAGTGGCCGCAGCAAGCAGTGAGAAGAATGTATGAGAATTTCTATGCGGCACATGGGTACTTGTACAGCAGCTAAACTTGTGTGACAGAGGTCCTGAACTTAAGGCAAACTGTGGGAAAGGTCCTCTTTCTGAGGCTGGATTCCATGGGCTTACCTCCCTCACTGAAAGCCTAGTGGTCATTTCAGAGGCTCGGGTGTTTTGAATGGAGCCTCCATATTTGCAAATTAGGAAGTTATCCAGACCCAGAGCTGTCTAATCCTTGGAATTATCAAATGCCTAATGTGGTTTAAATATCAACTATTGTGGCCTTTCCTATCCAAGACTACAAAGCTAAGGAAGGAAAGCAAAAATGGATGTAATTTAGAATGAGGCTTGGTTATTATTGGATAAATAGTTATTTTGTTATTCCATAGTTATGTATTATAATAAATGGTTACTATTTACCGATATCATTGGATAAACTCAAAAGTTATTTACAAAGTACCTACTCTGAGGGCAACTCTGCAGAGGACTCATGCTAACATGCTTTTGAAAAGGTTGGGAGAGATGAGGGAGGACTCTGGTTCAGAAGCTGGCATTGACCACTCAGACCTTCCATCCCACGAGGATGGTCCTTCAACATCCCAAACCCTGACATTCACATGGCCTTTGATACGGGCCTGGGAGGTTCCTTGCGCTTGTTTAGGAAGCAATCCCCACCCTCCTAGGAGCCCCAGTCTCTTGGGTTCCTGGCACCATTCAATTAGATCTTTCTTTACTACCCAGGGCTTAGCCACAGAGGCCATGGCAGGGACTCTTTTGTCTAGGGAATCAAACAGATGCCAGGCCATGGCTAGAGGGAAAGCTTTGGGGAGCTGGTTTTTCCTGAGGTTCAGGAGCAAGTCAGATCCATGAGAAGCTATCCCAAAACTGCCTAGTTTTGGATAATATCTAGCACTCCCATTCATATGGGTGCACTCCCCAGGCAGTTTCCATAAGTCTAGAGAGATCATTTGAAGAGTTGGCTGCCTCAGTGTGCTTTGCACTTATATGCATATTTTCAATCTTAGGTTCCACGGAGCCACTTTCATCTAATGCCCTGAGAGCTGTGACCAACGATGACAAGGCAGGAAACAGAACTATAACGTTTACAGTTGTCAGTTTCCCTAGACTTGGAAGACTGCTGAAGATGAACTCTGACAACAGTACAGAGGTTGTTTCCATTTTTACCCAACGTCTGGTGAGTCCTGCCATCCACACCGTGACATCAAGATGGGCTGTTGGGTGAGCAGGGAGCAGGCTGAGCAGTGAGCACCTATCATTTGTTTTCATCCTGCTAAACCAACCAGACATGGGCCATGGCCCAGGTAACTCCTCATTCCATTTTTAAACAGGATTCTTTGTAGGGAACATAACATGAGACAGTTGTCAGAAAGCACCATGCTAATTTAAACTCTGCAGGTAACAAATGAAAAAAAGTACTTGGGGCTGGGGAGGCGGCTCAGCAGTTAAGGGCAAGCACTGCTCTTGCGGAAGACCCAAGTTCAGTTCTCACTGTCAGGAGGCTCACAACATTCTGCAGCTCCAGCCCCAGGAGATCCAACTTCCTCTTTTGGGTTCTGCATGTACCTGTACTCACATGCACCACACACACACACACACACACACACACACACACACACCCTACTCACATGCACCACACACACACACACACACACACACACACACACACACCCTACTCACATGCACCACACACACACACACACACAAATAGCCAAATAGGTGGGCAGTAGTAGCACATGCTTTTAATCCCAGCACTTGGGAGGCAGAGGCAGGTGGATCTCTAAGTTCAAGGCCAGCGTGGTTGACAGAGTGAGTTTCAGGACAGCCATGGGCACACAGTGAAAAACATAAATAAATAAATAAATCTTTTTTTGAGAGGAGTCCTTTAAGATGAAATCCAAAGTGTGTGTGTGTGTGTGTGTGTGTGTGTGTGTGTGTGTGTGTTTTATATATATATATATGGGGTGGGGGGTATTTAATATATTATAATTGCATGTGTATGTGATTTGTATTCAGGGTGTTTCAAACTTTACTGGTGCACTGTTACCAGACCCATGGTTTACATATCTTCTTACTGAAATGAATAAGCACTAAAAAAATTTTCTGCCTCCCAGCCAGGAATTGGGTGTTTGTTTATGTGTTATTTCATTTTCTAAAAGTGATATTTCCAGATATAATCCTTTAGGCATTCCTTTGGTTTGTCATTCGTCATCGTCCTTCTGTCCTGAAATACAGGGTCTGACGATTTATTTGGCTGTAACTTTGTGTAACTAATGAATTTTTTAAAATCTCGTATCATCTTTAGAGGAAATAACAAGAGTTCTTAACCCTTGAGCTCTTTCTGGATGGTGTGAGGAGATGGGACTTGGCTTTTGCTTTTCATTTGTCTCTGTCTGTGTGCACTAGAGGGGTGGATCATGAGGCTAGCATAAGCTTCCAGTGAGACACTGAAAAGAAGAAGCATAGGGTCTGTGTCTTGCAGATTTCTCCAGGGCACAGAGCAAAATCTTAGAATGAAAACTCGGTTGTGTAGGGAATTAAGATGTGCTCAGAAGCACCAAAACATGCCTAGGACCAGTTTGCCTCCTGAATACTAACAAGAATGATATTATTCCTGTAAGAATATATTGGCTCTAGCTCCAGTTCCTGTGAAAAAAAAAATGACTGGTCATTTTAAGTATTATTTCCAACAGCGTTTGATTGCAAATATGTGGGGTTTGAGATTAAGATATAAATAAGTGTCAGTGAATATAGTAGCTAGAATTAAGTAGCTTTTGCTGCAATAACAAGAAACCCACACGTCCCAGCAGTTATATGATAACAAAAATGTTCTGCTCACTTGCATTGTATGGTACTGTGGGTTGGCCGTAGTCTGCTTTCCATGTCTTCTTTGTTTCAGGGTCTAGCTAATAGAACATCCTCGCTTGCTCTAGTAACTGTGCTCATGGCAGCAAAGGGCAACATGATGATGGAACACGGGATGACTTTGCAGCTTGTGCTCTAGTATCATTTGTATTCACATTTCATTGGTCAAAGAAGGCCTCACGAGGTAGCCTGCTGTCAGTGTGCTGGATAAATGTAGAGAGGAGGCACTGAATATTTGGAACAATGTTCTAACCACCATGGTGCATTAACATGCAAACTAAAAACTGTATATAATACTGGAAGCCAGAGTACATTTTTCTCTGAAAACAAACCACCTTTAAAATAGAACACTTGTAAATAAGAAGTTAACACAACAAGCCAAATATAAGGTCCTGGGCAAGCAAAGTCTTGATTGACTAACAATCCAGTTACTTTCAGATTTTAATGTTCTCCCTAGCCTTTCTAATTCTTTCTGCCTTTATGAACAGGTAGGAAGTATCCAGAAAACCATGGCATCCATGGCAACAAGTGTGAGCCGGAGCATGGGAAATGTTGCATAGGAGCTCATTGCTGTACAAGGTTGTCTGAGACTGTTGCTCCCTAGGGAAATGGACAGGCTCCAGTCTGGAAAAAACCTGTATCATTCCACAGATCAGGGGACAGAGAGGAGTTGAGTTGTATCAAATGGAACACAGGCAGTGTTTGGCTCCTCCTTCCCATGTCCCTTTCCTCGGCTGAACATGTACCTGCTATTCCAGGGGTCTGGTTGAATACTTAGACTCAAAGGACAAAGAAGAAATTGTTTTATTATTTGTAAGATTTTATACAAAGTCTGTATCTGGCTTTGCACACAAGGCACCTGCCTGATGTAATAATTTCTTTCTCCCTAAAACATCATCTCAGATATGATTATTGTTCATAGAATTTCCACACAATGGCTATCTGGTGTCCTTGTTGTGTGGTATGTGGAGTGTTTATAATTTAAGTATCAGATGCCTACTGGTGACTACTTGTGACTGTGCAGAAGTTCCTGAGCACAAAATCAGGAGATCTAGGTTACCATAGATCTTAGGGCAAATCACATAGCTGTTAAACCTATGTTTTGTTATATTTAACATGGGAAAAATCATAGAAATGATCATTGAAACTGTATTCATGTACGTTATGTATGAAGCCCTATGCTTAACCTTCTGTTGTATTGTTCCTCTCCACCTGAAGACTCAGACCTACAACTCTTGTGTTCACACATAGCATATTGGTAGCAGAGCCAGGACTTGAGCCAGGACTCTGAATTCTAAGCCAGGCTCCTGTCAAATTAGCCATGGCTTTCTCCCAGGTAGTTAAGTGTGGATAAGACAGTAATAGCTGTAAAATGCATATTCCCCACACTTAGTTGAGGTTCATTGAGATGGAAGCATTCTTCTAATGATCAAGAGAGATTCGAGCTAGAAATATTTTATTACTTACACATTCTAGGAATACCTGGCACACAAAGGCCATGTACATACAAAGTCAGGAAGTACACAGAGAAAGGGAGCTCTATTGGATCCAGTGCTGTTCAAACACCTTTTCCAAGGGGTGGTTGAGTGGGTGACTTTAAAGAAGATAGGTATTTGTTCCAGGGGGTCACATAGTGACTTAGAGGTAGTCATGTGACCTACCTGCATGGACCAGGTGGGGTGTGAGGATCAATAGGGTCAGTCACACAGGCTACATTAGCTGTCCCTTAGGTGACTACCTGGATGGACCACACTGAAGAATTTGAATGAGGAGAGTGGCAAACTGATGTCAAGATGACTGAGAAAGTCCAGCTGGTATTCAAGATGGATGGGAAGGTAACCAGACATCCTAAGGACATCAAACACTAATTAAATGGTGGCTAAGGCAGATGCTTAGCTTTCTGTTCTTGGATATGTGAAAAGTCCCTTTCTACTCCTCATATTTAAAAGGAGAGTTTCCCAGAGGGAGGCAATTTTCTGCTACACTGGAATTGGCTGGTGTTTGCCCTAATGTGCTACAGTCATTTAATGAATGGAAATGAGGTCATCAGAGGAGAGTGACATTTGCTTCACCTATGACCCACTTATTATTTCCTTTAAGTTCCTGGTGTTCCCAAATGCATTTCCCTCAGGGATGATGAGAGAAGAAAGCTAAGAAAATAGAAGAGGGCTCATGCAGGGACTGAATTTTCCACCCTTGGTGAGAGCACAGGCTGGATGAACAAAGGGGCTCAAGAATGGGAATCTCCAAGGGTTCTCTCTGACAGCCAGAGCATGAGGATGTGATGGGAGGAGAGGGGCAGTGGAGAGCTACTGCAGAAAGTTTAGGGGTTTACAGGGTTAACTTTGAAGACCTTGTCTCTCTTTCCACCTCAACCATCATAAAGAAAGTCAATAATGTGGTTTCTAAAGGAGGAAGAATACAGAGAAAACTGTGGAAGGATAAAAACCAAAATTTGAACTCTGATTCTTTCAGGGCTATAGGCTATTTTGATGTTTTGTGTACATCTTGTTTTCTGAAACATGCACACACACATACATGCACACATGCACACACACACATTCATGGGCTCTCTGGTGCTGTGACACAGTATGTGAGATGAATTACCTTAGAGAAGAACAGGTGTACTTTGACTCATGGTTTCTGAGGCTTTGGTTCCTTGTCAGCTGACACTTGCCTTGTGGCTTGTGAGGTAGGACTTCCTGGCCAGGAGCACAGGATAGAGAGATGCTATCTTCCTGGAGTTCAGGAAGCAGAGAGGGGAAGGGATATGGAGGAAAGGTTGCAGTAGCCCTCCAAGGGCACATCCCTGATCATCTAACTTACCCTTAAGGGTCTCTCTACCTCTTCAAGGTTCTACTCTCACACCTAATAGCACCAAAGTCAGGGAACAAAACCTTTCACATGTGGGTCTTTGGGGAACATTTCAGATCTAAACTATAGTGCATGCTTTTTATAAAAGCAAGACCAGAAAACAATAAAATGCTAAATTTATATCAAGAGACAGAAAGAAGCATCACCCATTAATATAGTAAATGATCACTAATCTGAATACATTCCAGGATTAGTGGGATGGCTCAGGGGTAAGAATATTTGCTGTGCAAGCATGAGGACCTGAGTTCAAATCTCCAGCACCCATGTAAAAGACTGGGTACAGCTGCGTGTTTCTGTAACCCCAGCATTGCGAGGATAGAAGCAGTGACTCCTGGGAGTTCATTGTCAGCAAGGCTAGCCAAATGGCAAGCTTTGGTTCATTGAGAGATCTGCCTGAAGGCGATAATGTGGAGAGTGAGATGCAATAATGGGACATCC